TCCTTCACTCTACTCTGCACTCTTGTACATTCCCTGTTAGCATTCTTTGTTTCTACTACTGCTTTATTTTATACAGATCTGCTTTTGACTACAGTAATACTTCTCATACCAAGTCCTAGCCATCTGAGGACATTAAGTGCTATAACCCTTGATGTGTGTGGTACATGGCCAAGGATAGGTGATTAGGAAAAAAGAAGGCTAAGGACTGCACAAAGAGGTCTCTCCGTCCATGTCTTCCTCAATCTCCGAGGCTTCCTATGTTAGGTGTTTTAACTACCATACTTTGCATTTGACAGTTAACCCAATCTGAATAGGTGTATTGAATACCTTTTTGAATGTCTAGGTATTATTATTTTTCTCCAGCATCCAATAAGAAGTCTTAAGAGTTCTCCAATAAAGTACCAATAGAAAAAGACAGTTGGAAAGACTGGGGGGGGGGGGCTGCTGGTTTTGGTTCTGCCCAACCATTTACAGTCTCTTTACCTGCTACCTCTGTGCATTTATGTAGCTCACATTCATGCACTGATAATTCTTTGATAATTTGTGCATTTAGAGGATCTCCTACCACTTATGTCTTTTGTGTAGCTCTTCTGTTAGACTTCATATGCATGTAAGAACTCATCAAGAGACTTGCTCCTGCCTAGCCATGAGACAATCTCATAGTAATGCCATAAGACTGCTCCAAATAGGATGAAAGATGTATGCTGAGGTCACGGAGAATGACATGGGAAGCACCCAAAGCAGAGGTGGAGCTGCATAATTTAGAGCTCACATCTGAGTGCTGAAAGGTGGTTTGGAATCATATGGTGCATCTACAGTAGGATGGTAAAATAGGAGAAGTAGTAAGTCCACAGCCTCAGCACCAGAGTTGCATGAGCTTAGTGCAGAGCTAACATAGTACCAACTTAGGTAGGCATGTTTTAAACACTCTTAAAGGACACAGACCATAATATTAAAAGCTTTTGGATCAAAACTTCTTTTTTTAATATTTCCCATGAAATTCTATGCATGGTTGTTGTTGTTGTTCTAAAAGAAAAAAATGTACTCAGTATCAAAAGTAAAAATGTGTGATGAGCAAATGCCATTTATGGGCTACAAATGTCATAGAATCATAGAATTAGCCAGGTTGGAAAGGACCTCTGAGATTACCAAGTCCAACCCTTAATCCACTACTGCCGTGGTTACTAGACCATGGCACTAAGTGCCACATTCAGTCTTACCTTAAAAACCTCTAAGGATGGAGAATCCACCACTTCCTTGGGCAGCCCATTCCAATGCCTGATTACCCTCTCTGTAAACAATTTCTTCTTAATATCCAACCTAAACCTCCCCTGGCAGAGCTTAAGACCATGCCCTCTTGTCTTACTGCTGGTTGCCTGGGAGAAGAGACCAACCCCCACCTGGCTACAACCTCCTTTCAGGTAGTTGAAGAGAGTGATGAGGTCTCCCCTGAGCCTCCTCTTCTCCAGGCTGAACAACCCCAGCTCCCTCAGCCTCTCCTCACAGGACTTGTGCTCAAGTCCCTTCACCAGCCTTGTTGCCCTTCTCTGGACCTGCTCCAGCACCTCAATATCCTTCCTGAACTGAGGGGCCCAGAACTGGACACAGTACTCCAGGTGTGGCCTCACCAGCACTGAGTACAGGGAAAGAATCACTTCCCTGGACCTGTTGGCCACACTGTTCCTGATCCAGGCCACGATGCCATTGGCCTTCTTGGCCACCTGGGCACACTGCTGGCTCATGTTCAGCTTCCTGTCAATCCAAACTCCCAGGTCCCTTTCTGCCTGGTTGCTCTCCAGCCACTCTGTCCCCAGCCTGTAGCACTGCATGGGGTTGTTGTGGCCACAGTGCAGGACCTGGCACTTGGCCTTGTTGAACCTCATCCCGCTGGAATCAGCCCAACTCTTCAGACTGTCCAGGTCCCTCTGAAGAGCCCTCCTGCCTTCCAGCTGATCAACACTCCCCCCCAACTTAGTGTCATCTGCAAATTTGCTAATGGTGGACTCAATCCCCTCATCTAAATCATCGATAAAGATATTAAACAGAACTAGGCCCAACACTGATCCCTGGGGACACCACTAGTGACCGGCCACCAACTGGATGCAGCCCCGTTCACCACCACTCTCTGGGCCTGGCCATCAGCCAGTTCCTAACCCAGCAGAGAGTGCCCCTGTCCAAGCCGTGGGCTGCCAGCTTTTTCAGGAGTATGCTATGGGAGATGGTGTCAAAGGCTTTGCTGAAGTCCAGGTAGACCACATCCACAGTCTTCCCCTCATCCACCATGTGGGTCACCTGATGATAAAAGGAGATCACCATTGTAGATTTTGTTTAAGTTAATACCAAAGGGACTTACATTTAGCTTTCTTTCTTTCCCTGTTCTACAAGAGAAAAAATTAATATTACCTTTAAGGAAGTCACAGGTATTTCAGAGGAGGGAGCGATTACAAAGTTCCCAGCATTCCAAATAGAGGTAGTTATTCTAAATAACATCATTCAGCCTTCTATATTGCTGTTCTCTCTTTCAGCACAGACTTTTCTCTCCACAGGATGGAATCTCAGCTGCAAAACATCCAGATCCTAGTTTATGTGTATGTGAATATTTAAGGTTAATATATTCCATGTGGCAGAAATAGTCAGCACCATTCAGACCACATTCCCTTTTCCTTTCTTGCTACAGAGTGGGGCTGTTGAAAATGTGCCTTATGAAATTGCAGGTTCCTTCTCTAGTTGCATGAATGAATTCATTGTTTCTAATTAGAATAAGGTGAAGTACTTCTCCCCATGACTGGATGTCCAGAAGGCAGGACAAACGAGTTTAAATAACTACTCTTAATCAAAGATAGAGAGGATAAATTTCCATCTGTTTTTTTCCCCACATGATAATTTTTGTCCTTTCTGTCCCTGTACAGTGTATGTGTTTTGGGGCTTTTTATATATGCAGCCCAGTATCAATGACTCAAGCAGGTGTCCTAGGTCACAAATTGACTGGAGAGCAGGAAAGACAAGACTCATGGCTTCAGTTTTCAAGCAAGTCGTCCTCTTAGCCAGAGGTAGGTGTCAGTTTGTTGCCAACTTTACTGGATTAGATTAGAAACCTAAGCACAACTTTTGTATGTCCTCTTTATTTCATCTCTGATGGACTTGGGTGAACACTAGGCTGGTCCTGGGGCTGCCCTTCTTAGACAGATCCCCTACCTTGCCTGGAAGGACTAGTACCTGTAGGGACCGGGGGCCTGTGTGTTGAAGTAGGTTGCACTACAACAGCAGTAACACATTTATTCTGTTTTTGAGCTGGGCAGCTGAGAAAGCCCAGCCTGGGTACAAGTTGTGAGGTAGTTTCATTTTGCCTCTAAGTATGTCTGCACACTATGTGCACAGCTGAGCAATTTTCTTGGCCTTGCCCTTTTAATAAAAGGAGCATGACCGGACTGTTAGCCAGACTATCACTGTGTGTGGCCAACTGGCATGGCCACACATTACTCTTCCTTTGCAGCAACTTGGTCATTAATCTATGCTTCCCAACACACAGACCAATCTTCAAGGCAGCTGGCAGTATCTGCTGAAGCATTGGAAGATAGGGAGCCTTTGGACTGACAATGTCAAATGGGACCAATAAGGGTGTGCCCAGTGCTGCAAAAACAGCAGACTGAGAGATGTGAGTAGTAGGGTATGAACTGAGAACCTGTCAGGATGAAACCCAACTTCTCTTTCCCCTGTGTGTCCAGGTTTTCACATGGAGGAAACCGGGAATGCTTTAGGCTTGACCTGCAATGCCCCCTGCAGGTGCCTGTTGCAGTGTGAGATATGCCAGGGCTCTGGGGCTCACCATCTCATGGAATGGTTACAGCCAAGACTCCTCCCTCTTATCTCGGGTAGGCTTATTCAAAACGCAGATTAATTTGCCATGGATTGGCATGGGATTAACTTGCTAGGACTTCAGAACTGACCTCCTATAGCATGGGATAAGGCTTGGCAGGGCTGGTGCTTAGCTGATGCTAAAAAGGGCTGATGGGCACTGGTGACTGCATGCAGTCAGTACCCCTTTACCCTGCTCTCCAGCACACTCTTCAGCACCTACTGACATCTGACATTTCATTATCCAATATATCCCAACAGTCCCAGATAAAGACATCAATTCCATGCTGCTGTGTTGATTCAATTCCCAAGCAACTGCTTGAAGTAAAAAATGGGTTAAGCATTTAGACATTGACCATAATTGTATTAAACCAGGATCATATTGATTTTTAATCTTTGATAAGAATTTGATAAAATTCACTGCAGCCCTCAAATATTTTTTACTTTGATTCCCTGTATTCTTCTTTTTAGTTCCCCCAGAATATTCAGCACGAATGCAGAGTTCTGTGAATCATCTCATTCATACTTTACACGGAGGTAATGCTGCCACTGTTCTATTGACCTGTTTACATAGCCAAAGGTGGTGCTGCAAGCTGGTATTCAATTGGTAATATTCTGATTTCCCAAGACACATGTAATACAACTAATTTTATGAATTAAAAATTGAAGAGGTGCCATCAGTTTTTAAAAGTCACATTCCCACTTGGCTCTTCTCATAATCACTGTTACAAGAAAGATTACTGGGATGACTATAGCAATAAAAATAAGAGGGGAGAAGCCTTTTGCCTTAGTCTGGGGTTTTGAAAGGTGTTGGGCTTTTTAAATTTATTTTGCACTGGACAGCATTTAAGTGTTTGTATATGGTCAGTGCCTCTGCATGCTTTTTATAAACTGCTTCTCCCCAGAAAATATATAAGCCTGGGTCTGGAGTTTGTTTAACGGCATGAGCTGTTTATTAACAGCAGGAGCACATTGCAGATAAGGTTGTGGGGGAGGTGACTGAAAAGTAGAAGCAGGATATGATCGAGGACTGAACCTTGGGTCCACCCCTTTTTGCTTACTGTCGTTCTGCTCTTTCCTCTTCAGCCCTTCCTTTTCATGAGAAACTACTGAACTTGTAATAAAGGCTCCATATTTCCATAGTCATGGCACTCTTTTCTTCCCTCACCCCAGTCTTTATAGCCATTATATGTGTTTTGATTGGGGTAATAATAAAGAAAACTAATGGAGAGAAGGAAAAACGTGACATTAAAAGCAAGCTTACATCTCGTCCGTGGGTGGATGAAGATTTAAAAGATGGTACTGACCATACCTTAGACGAAGAAGGTAAGAAAAATCTTATCCATCTGAACACTTCATTGTTTGAATTTTATCTGCTGACGTGAATAAAGGAGATGTAATCCTCTGTACTCTCCACAGTGACAGCAATGTATAATGCTATTTTGCTGCTGTGCCCTGAGCTTGTCAGCTCCCAGGAAGGAGGCAGTCCTCATGTCATGTCACTGTTGGTGTAAACCTCTAATTCCTCCAGAACCAGGTCAGAGAGCAAAAAGAAAACACATTTTCAAAGACCCCTGTCTGTTCCTCTGAACAGCAGATCTCAAACCTATGAGGGACTTTATGGGCAACGTAAGGAAAGAAAGGAGATCCTGCTAAAGTCCCCCCAACCTCTTCCCAGGTCTTATAAGTGTGAGCAAAGGGAAGACCTGAGCAGACAGTTTATATCTGCAAGTTGATTTTGTAGACATCTCGTCTCACTTTACCACCCAGTGCTACATCTTTGGTCTCAACACCCCTAAAAAGTTGGAAATGGTTTTAAGTCCTCCATTTGTGGCTTCTGAGAATGTCCCTGAGAGCTTTAGCTGAAACTAGAACCATTTGAAAGCTATGTTGATCAAATATTCAAGAACAGAATGTGGTGATGCTGCTAATCTGTTCACTCAACTGCCTATTTGAACCTATACAGAATGACTCTTATTTTCAGTAGCTGTTTCTGATGCACAGCTTGGACAAAAGTCTAAACACTGTATGTACCCTTCCTTCTTCTTGCTTCCTGACTATCCTCCATAAACCGCCTTTATTTCCTTGTGAAATAAAAATCTACAGAGTTCTATTCCTATGAAGCTTTTAAAGTTGTAGTTAATACAGCTCTCTTTTTTTTTTTTCCTTTTCCTCAAGCTGGCTTCAAAGGCTTTTTGTGGGGATTCTTTTTTTTGGTCCCATAATGACACATTCCCTGACTCCACTTCTAGAAATCTTGAAACATATTGTTCTTCTGTACATATACTTATTTCTAAGATCCATTACTTCTCTTCTTTTCTCAGTGTTCAGTGTACTTTGAGTTAGTGTTTTGTATCAGTTTCCAGAAACAGTTGATATCTGGAACATTTTAAACCATGTTGACTAATTCCCAAATACGTAAAATTTCTTTAAAAATTACTTCATGTGTTGTATCCTCCTTTTTTCAATGCAAAATAGATTCTGCATAAAATTATCGCATAATCCCTTTGTCACTGATGGCTTGCTAGTTCAGTTAAATTGCTGCAAATTAAAATTCCTGAAGGTAGTTCAAGTGATAATTTATGAATTATCATCTCGGACTATGCTTGCTTCTATCAGTTTAAAAATTTAGATCCTCTAAATAAGCAAACCTATTAGTTCTTAACAAGGAGCCTCACTGCCACAGCTCCATATATAAAGTCATTCTTTTATGTGCTAGTTGCTTACCATTTTATTCAGGTGCTAAATTCAAAATTGTATTAGTTTAAAATTCCTTGCAAAAAAATTGACAGGTAGACATATTGGTGCTGTTTCTAAAAGATTTATTTATTTTTAAATAAAACCTTTCTCAATTTACCATGTCATCCAATGTTAAAATCGGTTTTCTTGCTATTTTGCTTTTAATAATAAATAATTATCTTTCCCTTAATGGTATGTGATTCAAATCATGTCTTTTATCTCTAGAAAAATTAAAATAATTTCATCATGCATTGGGAAGTTTTTCTTTAGCAGGGAAAAGTCCATCTTAAGTGAGAAGAGTAGCAATGAGAAGTAGAAGAGCTGGTAAGGATCTTTTGCTAAGTAGACACCAAAATGTATTCCCCTTGTTAAAATTTAACACTTGTCAGTGTTAAAATTTTCACTGACTGTACTAGATGCTGAAATAGAAACGTGGACGTAAACACAGATTTTATAATAGTAAAGAATATTTTACATACTGTGTAGATTCTGTTACTTTATTAACGTATCTTATGGAAACAAGCTCATTTCTATTTAAATGTTTCAAGCTGGCTTGTATTTAAAGATAAAGTTCCTCTGAAGAAAATTGGAGTTAGGTGAGATGAAACATTCCTAAGGACTTGTCTAAAGCTAGAATCTAGGGCTGCCCTAGGTGAACAAGCTGAATTTTCAACTGACTCCGGAACAAGAAGGGATAGCTTAAGATCAAGTTGTTTGATTTGTGTCCATTCCCAAAACAAGGTCTATTTGCCAAGTATGTGAAGTACTCTGTAAGAAAAGCACTGACCTTATTTGTAGATATCATGAACCTTCACTGAAGTGGCACCGTCTGGGATGTTTGACCTGAGAGGGCCATACCTTTGAGTAGCAGAGCATTTAGCGTAATTAGCTGAACTGCTTGGGCAGACTCAGTAGGGTCACTTATTGGTAATGAAGGGTAGAAGTGCTCTGGAGCTTGTGTGTGTTCTGCTTTCAGTAGCTGAAGAGATGAGTGTTTCTTGGAGCAGATAAAAACCAAGTTCCTTCACTAGGTGCAAAGCACTCAGTCCATTTGTTTAATGCTTTAACTGGCAGCACTGCAGCTTTGTTTACATGCCTATCTGTCCTGTAACTCTCCCCTTCATTTATAAGATCCAGAACAAGCGATTGTTGTGCTGTGGATTGGCAAGAATGGTCTGTGTATGTATATGTCTGACTGTGTCTTGCACTAGGCCATTGCACTACCAATTAGATACAGATGAAAAAGATGTTTCTTCAGCTTTGCCTTGAACAATGAGTCACAAGGACTTTCTAATAGTAGTGGGCATCTTGTCCCAAAGTGGTGGATCTGGACTACTGAAAACCATGTCCAGTCTTAATGCATATCAATCATTTTCTTGATCATAAATTCAGATCTGTACAACTGATGGATAAAGTAAAGACCCAGTTTAAAGTGGTGTGGAAGATATGGCTGAATTATATTTGTATCCTTGTTATTCCGGGGATAAGTTGCACAGATTAACAACAAAGATATTTTATTACTATATATTTAATTGTGGGGACATTGGCAATACACTCTACTTAAAGAATACAAAGCAATGTAGGAAGTTCCAAATATTCCATTTCTTCTGAAAATGCACTGTTCATTGCTTGTCATACTTTTCGTAATAGACCTCTTCCACTTAAAAGCATTTCTCTTCTCCCCAGTTTCAAAGACTTTCCATATCTTAATAATGCTACTGACATGAATGAGGCAGTAGCAATTTAATTTTCCATTTCAATAACAGTTCATGTTTTGTGTCATTTAGGAACACAGGACTCAGATGTACATGATGCATTACTGTGCTTATCTTCCTACTGCTGCAGACAAATCCAGCCTTGTCATCAGCAGAATGAACATGAAAACTGGCCATTCATGACCCTATTTCTTTAACCCTGCTGGAAGGTTGGTCCAGAACTCCATGCTATAGGTTAAAAATCCTTCTCTACCTGCCTGTCTGCCCAAACTTATTTAATACTACTGTATACCCATTTTTCCTGTTCCTTCCTCTTCATATTTTAAAGGATACTCTTCCAGCCCTGGTATATATCCTCCTGTGGTTTATAGATAGCAATCAGATCACCTCTTAGCTTTCCATTTACTAGGTAAAACAGCAAGTCTTCTCTTTATAAAACAGCCACTCCACTTCTCTGAAGATCTTAAAAACCTTCTGTAACTATATTCCAGTTTGAGGTAATTTTCACAATATTTTGATTCTGGCTTCTTTCTTCCAGGGTCTGCCTCTCCACGTGCTACTTCTTTTGCTTAAGATCTATAACCAACTCTTGGGGTTCCAGGATCAGCCTGCTAGGCACTATTTATAACCCACTAGTAAGGCAATCCATCTCTTTTAGTTCTCTTTTAGCCACACACTCAGTTCAAGATTGGATTCACTACTGGGATTCCTGTAGTGGCAGATTTTGTAGCAGTCTGCCATTAATCAAGCAAAAAACAACAGGATCAGTTACCCAGAATTTTATGTCCAAAGATCTGAAAGCTTTCTTTGCATTTATTTAATTGTTTTCCTATGGAAAGAGATTCGCAAAGGAATTTTATGCTTAGAAAGCAATTCCTTAGAGAAGAAACTGAAAGAGCTTGTTTGGAAAGCAAACACATTCCTCTTGACTGAAGTTTCTCAAGGATCAGTTTCAGGACCATTTGTTAATATTATCTAGTGGTCTTTGCATAAAACCAAGGAGGACACATGAAATTTCCTAATGACATACAAGTGGAAGCCAACAATACAGGGAAGTGTCAGTGTAGGTAAAATAAGTGGCCAACAGAAGTGAAATGACAAGTCGTTGTTCTCAGTGTGAGCTTATGTTACCAGGAACTCATGGTAAGATTTTTTGCTACAAAATGAGGCAAAATTTATTATACGGTTTGTAGGCTGATTATAACCTCCCATATGAACTGCTGGGAAGATCGCAGTCATCATCCTAAAATGTATCCTGAGAGAAATTTCTGATAGAGTTAGAGAAATAGTACTTCTAAAACGAGATTTCATTAAAATGAGATTCATGGGATGCCTGAGCCAAAACCATTTCAGATTTTCATAAAAGGCAGGAAGCCTGAAGACTACTGTAAATGTACAATGGAATCGATGGCAATCTTGAGAATGTGGGTAACAAGGTAATAGACTTACCAGCAGGATGTCTGTTGTCCATCAAGTCATGGAATACACAGAGATGTAAACAAGACACTTGTAGTATTATATAATGTGACCATACGAACAGGAGTATGTCTAAACACAGCAATTAAAGATATAGAGAGCATGCACTAAACAGATGGCGCTGATAATGATTTTATCTTAGCATATGGATAATGTTAACTGCTAAGAATGAATGGTAGACACATGGTAGAGGAGAATAAATACTAGATGAATTTATTAAAAAAAAAAATTACCAGGAGAGTTTTGATTTTGTGTGTCAGTTCCCTCAATCCTGGGTTCTTCTTCTCCCTCTGCCAGTATTCCCAGTTGGAGGGTATAAAGGTTTTTCATTCTCACTAGTTGCCTCACCTTTTTTCCATATTCAAAATCTTTGAAAGTACATTTCTTTTTTCGCCTTATTATTAAGTTGAGACATCTTGACCAAACAGCAATTGGACTTTTTTTCTTCTCTTCTTCTTTCATGGGAAAAAAAACTCCGCACCACAAAATGAGCACACATTCATCACTACTTTACTAAGTGTAAACCACAAAGGGAACATTAGGAAGAGGCACCTTTTTACTTTTCAGCTTGAGTGTACAAGATGGTCACAAAAATAATTTTTACAGCAGGTCGCTGCAAAAATAATTTTTACAGCAGGTCACTGCTTCGCATTAACGTGGAGCCAGGTCCTTGCAGACTGTGACCAAGAGTGCTCAACAGAGGCATGAAATGCTAAACAAAGAGAATTCTTTGGGTATGCAAATTGAAATGTGTGTTGTTTGGGGACCAGAATAATTCTGTCTAGATTCAATGTATGAAACTGGATTTATTTCACCCTCTTGCACATGCTGAGATACTCTTGTGAATATTTCACTGCTGTTTATAAAATGAACAAAAAATCAGCCTGGTCTCTAAGGCAACTTCATACTACTAAAACACAGAAAAAATTACTGTTTGAATTTGCACTGGAAATTGCTATGATTCTGGAATAATAGCCTAATGGTGACTGAAAAAGAACCGGAATATTTTTCCTGACTCAGCTCTCTTTTGCAAATTGTTCAATACTATCGACTAGTCAAAATGCAGCATTTAAATGGCTTTAACTTCCACATCATAGCTGTAAAAAATGCTATCTCTGCTGATTCTAGGAATAAAGGGCAGAAAGAGATCTCAGAGACAACAGGAGATTCATTTTGTGATATAAAAAAACCCAGAGAGACAGATTTCAGTGAAACGGGGAACCATTTAGAGTTCTTAATTTAAAGATAAGAAACACAATATCCTATATTTGATATATTGTTATCCTAAGTATAGATGCCTGTCATCCATTTTGTCTTATGCTGGAAGTGTTGGGAAACCAAAGAGATTAACCACAAAGTCACATTTCTGCAGAGCTAAGACTTGCAGTGCTTTGGCTATGAAACATGAATATTGAAGAAGTTGACATTCAGCTCTTCAGAGGAGATTTTTCACATAATGGTACTTAAGCTCTCTCCTTAACTTCAGTAATTTGACTTTTTTTTTTCTTATTAGACTGCTCAAGAAGGAATATACATATTCACATTTACTTGCTGAGAAAAGTGGGCTGAAGGCCTAGCCAGTTTTTCACTGCTGTTTCAGCTTGTAACCCATTTTTGCAGGCAGGCTTGCAGGCTGAAGCGGAGAAGGCAATGACTTCTTTGTGGATCACACTTGCAACAGCCAACCAGGACCCTCGTGCCTCTTGGTATTTAAACAAGATGTTTATTCAGCAGCTGGAGCTAGGGATCAATGAGTTGTGTCAACTGGAACCTCAGACTTTGCCTTAGGAGTGATGTAGAAGGAAAGTGTACACCAGTGCAGGACAAAGTGCATTCCAGCGGTGAATGCCAAGGATATCAACAGCATTCTCTAGCAAAAAAAATCCCTAACCACTTGTGTTTTCTTGCAGATGTTGACGAAGAGTGTCAAGGACTTGAAGAAAATGTTGCCCATGTCCCCTTTACTGCGGAGCGCTACTCTGAGGCTGAAATGATTAAAAGGTCACAGACATTTTATGAGCTTCTAAATAAGAGGCGATCTGTCAGGTTTCTTAGTGATGAGCCGGTCCCCAGGGAGGTTATCGATAATGTCATCAGAACAGCAGGTATGGTACTGAGTGGTTCAAGGTCTGAAAAAAACAAAAAAAGGATCACCATTGTTGTTCAACTGCGTAACTGTGAAAAGGTGGTGTGGAAAAGCCAAGAAAATTGGCATTTTTCTTATGGTTTTACCAGATTCACCTGTAACCGGAATGAATTAGCACCCATTGATTGATCAGAAATTACTCAGCTTGAACAACAAACAATATGTTGGGGAATTGTTTGGAGCATTCCCAATTCCTTTGTATTTGCAGTTCACCTATAAGGGAAGAAGAGCATTTCAACAGCATGAAGCAAAATACTTAATTTTCAACCTTTAAAAGATGTTATTTAAAATAAAATTTGTGTATGGTTTAGTGAGACATCTTTCAAATAGAAATATTAAAGTGTTTTCTCTTAAAAATGTCAAACCATGTGTACTTCACATGCTTTAAAATGCAATGCATTATAATATCCAGTGTGGGGTTTGATGTTTGGGTTCCCCCCACAAACATAGTGATGAAATTTTCTTAGGCAAGCAAAATATTTCAGGTGATATAAATGGTTGGGGTTTATTATAGAAAAAGAATTTCTGTCTAGAACAAAAAGCCTTTTCCAGTCCTTCTGACATCAGTCCAGATCCTCGTTGCATGTGACTGGAGTGTTAAGATGAGGACCCTGATCAAGGTTATTTGGTGGAATGTCAGAAATTGATTATTTTGTTGTTGTTGAGAATTTATGCATTTCAAATCGTTACTGTCATGTCCTGGCCTAATCTCATCTCTGCTTTAGTAACATTGACTTCAGCCAGAAGTGGTTTGGACCCTCATTATTTCTCTTATTCTATGAGCCAGCTGCTCCTGCTATAGAAAATATTCCAGGCTGCCTTAGAAAATAGCTCAGTGGCCTTTAGCAGGATTAATAATATAAAGATTCTCAACATTTGAGGTACATTGTTTTCCCTTTAAAAACTGTAAGCAGCTTTGCTACTGCACTGTAACGAGTCTCTGTCTCCCTCTAATTAACTAGGAGTCATTAAAACACTGAGCATGTTTTGGCAAAAGCAGCAAAGCGAACAAGCCTGGCGTGCAGATGAAGTACTTAGTAATCCTGAAAGCTTTGGGCTGTGTAGAGAAAAAGAAAACAAAATGAAGCATAAATGTCATCAGTTTTTACCCAAACCTGAGGAGAGGCAAGGTTCACAACATAAAAACATTTTAATATATAAAGATAGTTCAAGCTATCTTTAAGTGTTCAAGCTATCAAGCTATTCAGTGTTTCTCAAGCTAAAATCAGTCCTTAGGTAAGCAACTATTGTATGCGTTTAAGATCTTCAAATATTTTTAAATGTGTATGAGGGATCAGAGAGATCTAAGCAGTCTTTTTAACCCATATATATGTGAATCTGTGCAGATAACTATATCCTCCAGCTTCTGGTTTTTAACCTCTAGGCAGTTAAAATATTCTCCTATGGTGCTGGTGGGTGAGCAAGTGCAGACTTTATATGTGCACACCTACATACACCAGCAGCCTTTGGGACAAAAAACTCAAAGCTGTATGCCATATGGTAGATGTCTTTGTTGTGCAGCTCCTTATCTTAGTCAGTCAGTGACAGGTTCCTGCGGGTGGTCACTTAGCCTTGTTTCCCTGCAAGCCATTAGTTTTGCCCTTTAACTAAAATCAGGTCTCCGAGTTGGCTGCATATTCAGACAGTGCATTGCTTTCCGTATAATTACTATGGGCATATGTTGCACCATGTTACCGTTTCATCATAAGAACCAAAAGGAACTTTTAGAAATCCTTAACTTACCCTTCCTGTAAGATTGCTGTATGAAAGGACTAATCTCTGTCCTTGAATGGGACTTCTCATTCTTTAAGAAAGAAATGAACAGGATTGTCTGCCAGAACTTGCCTCAGTCCTTTTCCTCCCATCTCATTCACTTGCTTTCCCGTCACTCTTGGTCAGCCTGAAAGCTCACAAGGAATAGCTGAAACCTCTCACCGCCCACCCACCTTCCTGGGTTTTCATCTTTCCCTGTTTTTGTATGAAGGTACTTCACCTAGTGGAGCACACACTGAGCCCTGGACCTTTGTGGTAGTGCAAGATCCATATTTAAAACGTAAGATTCGTGAAATTGTAGAAGAAGAAGAGGAAATCAACTACAAAAAAAGGATGGGAGACAGATGGGTTAATGACCTGAAAAGATTCAGGTATGAAAAGTCAATTGGCTAAGGAGTTTGAAAGGAGATATGTTTTAGTCTAGGAAAGACTTATGTCATTTTCAATTTCTTCTTCCCTCTCATTTTTGATATATTTCTAAGATTCACACTTGGAAAGAAAAACTTATAAATATGCATAGAATTGTGCCTTGGTGGCTGGTTCATAAAATTGCTTCCAGCAAAAGGTTTTATATGCTCTCCATCTTGAAAGTTTTCCAAGCATTTGGCTCCATCATTATTTTTCCCTGTGTAACCTCTGTTGCTGAAACTCTTGTCCCAGATTTTTCCTGTTGTTTGCCAAGCAGTGAAGCTCCCAAAGTCATTGGAAGCTTTGCTACTGACTGAGGTAGCCCCAAGGCTTGAGCCTATCCAAGTGCTGAATTATACAATATTTAATTGTTCCAAATGCCCTCCGAAGTCTGACTGACTCGCAATGGGAAGATGTTTACTGAGTCTTGGCTTGTCAAATGAAACATATGCACAAAGCTTTGTAGGGTTTATTTGCCCTACCTATTTCATAATGTTATTTTACATGTGCTTAGGTGCTATGCAAATTTATGTGCTATGCAAACAACTAAACCCCAGTATTTTTCATATTTTGAGTGCAAACAGTAGAAAGTGCACATTTTCTTCTCTAAATTCTACATCATAATTAATATATTTAAATTGTCATTTAAAAAGTTGGGAGCCAAATGAATTCTAACAGGGTTGAAATACTCAGAACCAAAGTAACATTTTTTTTTGCCATGAGAATACATCTAGGTTTAGATCGCAGACAAAGAAATTTTGAACTTTTTTGCCAGCAGTTTCCCCTGCAATCACAAAAAAGTTGGCATTGCTAGTAACAAGCAAATCTGTAAAATTCCAGGAATTAAATAATCTCACAGGCAAATGCCCATGAGGCCAGTCATAGATAAGAGGTAGCTTATTTATATGCAATTCTACTCTTCAGAGTGAGCACATCAACTCCTCAGCCAAATCTGTTAAAATTGAGAACTCTATTCAAGTTTTTTTTTTTCCAAAAATGTTTCTATTTAAGCTGATAATACTTAATCCTTTGCAGTAAATGTTCTAAGCTTTAGTCTGCTGCTATAATCGTCATGTACCTTCAGTGCCCCTCTGCAGACAGTAAATGTGGCTTATGGGAAAGTGAAAAGGTTGCAAAATAAATGTCTTAAACATTCTTTTGCAGAACAAACTGGATCAAAGAGTACTTGGACACTGCTCCATATCTGATCCTCATTTTCAAGCAGGTATATGGGCGGCTTCCAAATGGCAAGAAGAAGACGCATTACTATAATGAAATCAGTGTTTCTATTGCCTGTGGGATCCTGCTTGCTGCACTGCAGGTATGGTGACAGAACCAACGCACTAGGAGTCAATTTATTAGCTTGGACTACATACCAAGACTATTCTGCCCAAATGAGAGTGGAACCCAATTTAAATTTTAACATTATCAGTCCTCTGGAATACTCCAATTCCTGGCAATGTGTCTTAGTTTTGAGTTTTAAAGTTATTCCATATAGATCTATACCTGAGAAGGTAATTCCTGTCATCACTACTGGTTAACAAGAAGAAAAATGTAATGTAGCTTCCAGAGTTGTCACTCTTTTCTAGGCACAGACTTCAGCTCCTGTGGTTTCTGCCTTATGCTAACAGGCCTGACAGGCTCTGCAAACTACCCAAGCATGGCTGTGTGGTGCCACACTGGCCCCTTTTTTTCAGTAATCCCTAAAAAACAGCCTGACACCAAAACACTTTTAGTACACAATGCTGGAAAAAATAAAAAACTAGGGACATACTCCACAGAACAGGCTGTACTATTTCAATCAGTCTTTCCAAGGCATTTCTAAAAGTGAACTGATTTCTAAAGCTCAGCATGTTTGACACCAGCCAGTTAGATTTTCTCAGTGGTTTCTCAGTGCTCAGTTCTGCTTCTTGTATCTGATGTCCTCACACAAGTGTTTAAATAGCAAAGCTATTCTGATAGTTAACTTGGCCTGTCAGCAGGATAACAGTAAGGTGCCACCTCTTATATTAGGCCAATTTCCTACCAGGCACTGCCATTTCTCCTCCATTCAGTTTTGAATGACACTTCCTTTTGTGCATTGCTGCTCCTAAGGCACCATTTAGCATCACCACTATTAGCTCTTCTCCTCTTGAGAAGATCCTAGAGATTACGAAACATGAGAGGTGCATTGCCTGAGCACTTTTCTCTGGCTCACTTTTATATCTCAAAGACTCAAAATTCTCACATTACATATAGGGAGAGACTGAAATCCACATATGCAGTTGTCAGGAAGCGAGTCAGCTATGTGCTTATACCTTGGATGATGTCAGCTCTTTATTGTTTGTCAAATTTTTTTGGTCTTTTGTGAGATTTTGTATGAGAGGAGGACTGATATATAGACCTACTTTGCGGTTCTGATATAAATTGTAACAATGGCCATTGTGAGAGACAGAAACAGACTCCTGTAGCAACTTTTGACACAGTACCTGTGCCCCCTTTCCCTGTAGGGAGCAAATGTTCACAAAGCTGTAACGCATCTTCCTTGTCAGCTCTATGGAGGCAAGAACTGAAACATTTCTCTGTGCAAGCCAGGTCATAGAATCAGAATAGTTTGGGTTAGAAGAGAGGTTTACAGGTCACCTAGTCCAACTCCCATCTCCATGGGATGATATTCCAGTAACATCCCCACAACTGCCTCTCAATTTCAGTGTAACCCTGGGTCCCCCTCTATGTGGAGCATTGCGGGCAGGCTCCGGCTGTATGGCACGCAGACTTGGCAGGCAGAATGTGCCTTTGCTGTGGTCGAGAAAAACTGCACTTTTCCATAAGCAAAGTAGGCTTCTTTTATGGTACCATTAAGGCTGTTAGTATATCACATGTTCTAAAGACTGCAACAGGATCTAACGGAGCAGCATTTCTGGGCTAGTCAATAGGACAATACAGGTCTGGTGGGAAAAACTGCTACACATACAGAGCACAGACCTCTGTCTCACTCTACTGCCGTCTGTCTTGCTGCAGAATGCAGGTCTGTACACGGTGACCTCCACACCCCTCAACTGTGGCCCCCAGCTCCGGGTGCTGCTCCAGCGCCCAGCAAATGAGAAGCTACTCTTGTTGCTCCCTGTTGGCTATCCCAAGAAAGATGCTACTGTGCCTGCGCTGACCAGAAAGCCACTGGAAGACATCATGGTGGTCATGTGAGCCCAGTGCCAGGAGGAAGGAGTGCATCCCTGCTGACAGCTAGGAAGCAGCAGCCTGATGAAGTTGTCATTGCTGTTTCTTTGCATCATCCCCCTATGTCACTGTTGCTCTCTGGCAGTTTACATCTGTATTTCTTTTAGTGCTACTAACAGCAGTGAGCAATCAAGCGCTGTGCATTTGACAGGTGCTGTTACTTATGAAACCAGGCAGTTGTTCCAGGGGACAATGGCATTTAAATGACCTTCATCACTTGATTTTTCTCATGCACTGGGGGGACAAATCTTTCCTTGAACTGGAATATATATTCTTCTTATACTTTTCTGATTGCCATTACACAGTTATTTTAAGAATTTTAATGAAGGTTGTATTAAAAGATATAAAGCGGTCAGACTCAGCTGTGTCGATCACTGTTTAAATGCCCCTTCCCCCTCTGTGTAGAAGGATGCTATTTTTCCCTTATATGATAGGATCTCCCCACTTGGTTGATCTCAAATACCTTGCCTATACCAGGCTTTCTTAAACTATGGCTGCTACGAGTGTCTTAGATTGGGGAAAATGTAGTAGGAAAAAGTCATCCAAGTAATTTCCTTGTTACCAGTTATTTATACATGTTCCAGGCCCAGTTAGATCATACGGTAGCTATCAACCATACCCCCTGTATTTGCTGCTTCCACTGGAAGCAGCCCAGAGGGAACTACTGTTCTGGTTAACCTGTTTATTATACCTACAACCATACCAGGTTAACACTCTGAAATTTAAACTGCTTTACAGACCCTGACATGTGAGAGGCGCTTTCATGTCACACCATGTCAGGGATATCGCTTTCATGTCAGGGATATTGCTTCCCACAAAAGCAGTGCTCCTTACTAGAAGCGAGATGTGAGGGGCGCCAGTGAGAGCTGCGCCCTGGAAGCGCTGGTGCTGCCGATCCCTGTGCGGTCAGAGCCCCCTCGTGGGGCCGCAGGTACCGCCGGCGCTGGGAACAGCGCAACGTGAAAACGCTGGGAGAGAGCCATCCTTCCTGCAGGTTTCTGTTCTGTGAAACACTTTCCCACCCTGATCTCTGCTGCAGGCAAATTCAGCCAAACTGGCTTCAGCCCTCCTTGGGCGTTGGTCAAGATGATCCGCTGCTCCTTGTCTAAAGTCTAACCTGTGCTAGAGGAAGGTGTCCCTGCCCACAGCAGGTGGATTTGAGCTAGATGATCTTTCAGGTTCCTTCCAACCCAAACCATTCTATGATTCTGTAATTCCATAAGTCAATCCCATTTATTATCACCCGTTGTCAGCCTAGCAAGTGGAAGGGATAATGTTTTACAGAGGTACAGATTTTAGCCATGCCAATGCCTCAGTCACCCAGTGGGAAAAATTATTTTTCTCTTAACCAGACCATTTTGCTGGTATTTAGCAGGCATGCCTAAATGTGTTCACCTATTGTACTAATCTTGTTTCACATCCTCAGTGATAAAGCTATGGCAGGAAGCTCTTAATGCAAGCCTAATCTAAAATGAGCTCGTATAACTAATATAAAATAAAATAAGGAAGTCCTGTGTCTACACACTTGCAAGGTATAAAAGGTAGTCAGGGAGAGAGGGATGGACTGAACCAAGCCAAGGCTGACCAGCTACAGGTGCCTGGTTATCAGGAATACATTTTAAAGTCACTGTTGCAAGTTTTCCTTCTGTGCAGATGCTGCTCTGCCACATCAGGCCCCTTCACAAGCAGTTTTTACCTGCTGTAAAAATTATGTTTGTTTTAATGCAGAGTTCACATCAATAGAGGGAGGATGAATCTCTGTCTTGTTGCAACCTTTCCTATAGCTACAGAAAAAAACTGCTGCTTCCTGGTCTCAGTCTGCAAAACACTCAGAGAAGCTTTACCAAATGAATTCAGTTTCAAACAGCAGAATCTTGCATATATAAGACTATCTCTAGTATGATTTCATAATTAAAAAACAAAGAACTAAACCAGTTTAAAAATACACAGAAAATTGTCACAATAACAAGCATTGGTATATACCACTTATACTTCTTTGCGCCAAAGAAGATTAATGGTGTTTTTTTCCCCTGTGTTGATTCTGGAAACTAATATACACGTAGTAGTTGAAAAACTCAAGCCGTCACACCCTCACACCTACTAAGTCAAAAAGATTCTTCTTAGATCATGAAATGTAAGTAAAATAAGCTTCTTTTCTTTTTTTTTTTCCCTTTCCGTACAAATGCTTATTCAATCAGAAATTCTTCAGTAGTATTACAGCTGCTGGTGATATTGCAGAGTTTCTTGTAAATCATGCTAGTGTTCCTGTAGTGACAAGCCTACTTAGAATTGCAAGTGTTCTCTAATAAGTGCACTGTCTTTACTTAAATCACAAATAATAATAAATTTTGCCTTTCCATACAGCACATTATTAAAAAAAAAGGTTAGCATTTAAATTGTTTTACACTTAATAAGCAATACCTCTATGGTATTTGTTCAATTTCAAGGTAAAAAAATGTTTTTCTGCTATCTAATTGGAGTTTCCCATATTTCAACTTGTGTCGGTTGCCTCTTGGCCTGCTGCTATGCATCTGTAAGAGAAGTCTGGCTTCATCTTCTCTGCATCTTCCAATCAGGCAGCTGCAGACAGCAATCAGGTTTCCCCATTTATGGGATCTTTCTTCCTTGAACTGCGTGGACAAATTTGTGTGCATTCAAGGATTCTCACTGTCTGAAGTTTGTCAGACAAACAGGCTTAAGTCAGGTACAACACAGTGGGTTGCATCACAGCCCAGATGATTAAAGGAATAAGTATCACATGTTGTTGGAACCATGGCAAACTGCCCATCTCCTCCCTCTCCATGGATGACTAAACTGGCATTGGTTTTAGTATGCCCTTGAATACAGAGCTGTAAGCTGTTGCAGTTCACCTGGCACCTCATTAGCAATCCAGCTGGCCATGAAGTGTGGCAGGAAAGCATTACCCCTGGGTAAGAACCCAGTCCACCATCTTCTGTTCCAGACAGGTGAGCCAGAATGACTCTGCTTGAAAATAAATATTTTTTTAATCTTAGTGATTCAAAGGTCTGAGGAAACTGTTACACTGGTATATATGCTATCTCCTTCATAGCTTAGAACTCACCTATGTGACTGAGTGCAAGACTCCCATAAACTAGCTGGGCTGTAGTAACCATCTAAGTGAACAGCTCTCTTCTTGAAGAAAATAGCAGGTTGTCAGCACTTAGCTTCTTTGCAAACAGTTTAAAGCTAAGTGTTGCTATCTTACATTTGATGGAAATAACTGCCCAAGAACAGCTACTGAGCTGGTCTGAGCTGGTGCACAGGGATGTGCTGTAATTTATCAGCTGTGTGTTTGAGCACGGGTAGAGCCTTCCCCAGTCTTCGTTCGCGAAGCCTAGCCCTGATGATGATGATTTAAGCATTTCTTACCATATAAATTTACACTAGTACAATAGAAGTAAAGCACCTTTTAGGTGCAAGGAAGTACTAACATGGTGCTCTGTAGCCCAGATGAACAGAAGCATGCAAGCCCCAAACTCAGGTTGTGGTTTTGCTTTGATTAAGTTGCAGCACTTCAGAGATATTTAAGCAAGTAGATGTGCAGTCATCATCTGATTGATTTATTTCCTTAATTGCTACATAAACTTGGGCCCACGAAAAATGAATCTTGAGAAATAATCCAGCTTGCACTCCAAGGCAGGATCAGTTGTATTTGAATGCCAGGTGCTGACAGAACATGAATTCACAGCACTAATCCACTGCTCCCAGCAAAACACGAAAGAAATAAAAACTCAAAAGCTAATTCTGCCAGCACATGCAAGTCCTAAGGAGTTTTTGTTTCCAGAAGGGCTCAGCCTTGGCTTCATGTTGCTGTCACTGATGAGACCCCCATGGAGATCATTAGGAAGAGGTTGGCTGCTGTATTTTTTTGAAGATTTCCACCCACCTGAGCTTAGCCAAAGAAACTGCAAAAGTAGAACACATTCATTACTCAGAACTCTCAAGGCATTTAATTATTGTTTTGGCTAGCACTACCAATATCAGACATCTATGAGAGCCCAGTCTTTGCTCATATAGACAGAACTCTTCTATGCTTGTGGATTGTAAATAATGAGAACACTTAAAGGCATGAAAGCTGGGCAACAAAATCCATTCAAATTTAAGATGGAGGAGAGTTCTTGAAACTTGAATCAGTGCAGCAGCAAGTTACCAGTTAAATAGCACATGCTGTTACAGGTTTTGTGTGTTTAGTCACTGTTAACCTTAGCTACAAGATTGGAACTGAGTTGAACTAGTTCTGGTAGAAACAACGAAGGCAGTCCAAGACTCTGGTGACACAGTCTAAGGCATGGGAAAAAAATATTGATCAGCAAAATGGGTAATGACCAAAACCTGAAGGCATGAGTTACCAAGTTTTTCAAGACATAGCATTAAGAGAGGTTGTGTTTGAAGGATTTTTAAGAGGTAAACTATGAAGCTTGGAGTTTTTTATGAGGAGCTATCCTGTGCCTGAGGGTAAGTTCTTGTCTATTACTAAAGATCTTGTCATTGAGATCACAAGTGACTCGGTTTGAAAGGGTGAGACCAGAGTTGGACAGTTTTGCCCTACAATGTGATAGTGTTCGTGAAGTTATCCTGAGGAACACCTCTTGCAAATACTAAGTTCAGAGTGTGTATATTGGGAGTCAGATAGTGACAAGCACAGCTGTGGAGACCCACAACAGTCACAGATATGCCTCAAAGAGAGGATCTGCTTTAACAGGCTGACTTTTTTTCCATTAGATATGCAGTAGAGACACTGGTCTGTAGATTATGCACTGGATTTTAATGAAGTTTTTGTTATTGTTTTTGTAGTGCAAATTTTCTAAATATCAGAAGGCTTTTAGCATCTTCAAACTATTCCTTTAGCTCACTCATAGGATGGTAATTATTCATTCAGCCTGCAGAATTCTCTGTGCAACCAATGCCAAAGTACCACTCTTAGATAAAGAAAAATATGTTCTCTAGCAGCTTTCTGTGAAAGACATCTCTAAGCAAGTAGTACTACCAGGTGGAAGGGGCAACAAGGACCTCCTGGGTTTGCCTTCCCGGAATAAATAAATATGAGATGTGATGTAAGTCACCCTTTTTTCAGTCTGAAGATCTTAGGCTGCTTTCAATAACAGTGTAACCTTTGTGTAGCATAAACTTGTTTGTTGGGCTTTATGACAGGAAAAAAGAAACAGAGGAAGACAAGCCACAACTACTATGCAATGCATAAGGAGTCAAAGAGCTGAAAAGAAAAAAAAGCTTTTCTATGCTGGCCAGTATGTTTGTTCCTGTTTGTAAGCTGGAACGCATAAAATTTAGAGCTCACCAAATTTCAGGATATTATGACTCTTGAAAAATCTGTAT